TATATGTATGTTTGTTTATTTGTTTTTAATTTTTAATTTAATTATTGCAGTTTTTACTCTTATTTATCTGTTTATTATTTAAAATATTTTATTTACATTTTTTTAAATATCTGGTTAATATTTGCTATTTATTTTTTAATTATGTTATTATTATTTTATTTTTAATTTTTTGGCCACCCACAACTTTAATGGTATCCTGGCAACTTACTGTGTGCACTTCCTGTAGGTCTCCTCCAGCAGCGTTAATGAGCATCCTTTCTGCCACAGAAGAGCTCTTGGACAGTATTCTAGGTGGTGTGCAAGTGGGCGAGTTTGCAGTGGTGCAGCCCCTCAGTATGGAGCACTGCTGCATTCTGGGATATCTTCTGGCCTGGAAACTCCTCTTCACCTTCTTCAAGGCTTCTTCATCTCATGTCCAGAGAGTGACAGCGAGAGTGCCAGCGCTAAATCTGATGACGAAGATGGAGAAGAACCATGCTTGTAAGACGCTCTTTCACACACACTGGCTCTTAAAAGTCTTTGGATATGTAATGCCGAATAGATCCCATTTGGTTTGATATTTTAAAATAACTACAGTGTGAAATAACTAAAGTAATGCAATAAACATTATCTAAATAACACAAAACACTCTGATGAATGTAAATGATAATATATATGGTGCAGCCCCTCAGTATGGAGCACTGCTGCATTCTGGGATATCTTCTGGCCTGGAAACTCCTCTTCACCTTCTTCAAGGCTTCTTCATCTCATGTAAGTAAAAAACAGTCATATTGCTCTTGAAAGCTGTCAATCATTGCCTCATCCTTTTTAATCCACTTTTAACAGAGACATTCTAGAGGTTAAATGATCTGTCAGATGTGTCTGTCTCATTGTGACAGAAATATTGAGTGATAATGTCACAGCTTTCATCTCCCCAGCTCTTCATGATTTTGAGTGAACATGAAAAAAGGCTGCAGAACTTATTTGTAATGCAAGCAACATGACGTCTTTCATGTAGTGAAAATGTCTGTTTTTATTTATCAGCTGCGAGCTCAGTACTCTCTGCATTTGAAAAAGACTCATTCTCTTCATAAACTCCTACTTCACCTGTTCCGTCTGATGCCAGAGATCCCATCAGTGCCTGGGCAGCCAGCAGAACCCTCAAGCAAAGAACCGAAAACCTTCTTCACTGAGAGTTTGTCTCTCTCCCCCCGGAGTATGTTGCAGATCATTTATAACTGTAATTCTCAACTGGTTTAACCACAGGATTCAACACACTACCGAAATGATTTATTGTAAATAAAAATGTTAATAGAACCAAGCATTAAAATTAATGAATATATTAATGAATGTGTAAACATTATCACAAACTACATGGACCCAACAATATGCAATATTATTAGTAATTTTTTCTAAAAAGTAATTACTTTTTGTTTATTTAGTATCAAACTAAGCACAATTATTTGCATGTGTTTTATTCTTTTTCTTATTTTTTTCATTTAGTTTTCATTTTCATTTTAAAGTTTTAGCAATTTTATGTTTTTGTTATTTGTATAATTTTAAAAAAAATATTTCTATTTAGCTTTTATTTTAATTTCAATTTTAGTCGTTTTAGTACTTCAACTTAAACTTGTTTCAATTAGTAGTCAAGGCAACATGTCTAATTTTTCAATTTTTTTAAAGTTTGTTTTTCATCTATATTTACATTTTATTTCAGCTTCATTTTAATTACTGAAACTTTATGGAAATTACAGAGTTTTAATAGTTAGTTTTAGTCATCGATACCAACACAGTCTGCTACCTGTGACCTGATCAAAACAAACCTGCGGCCCATCAGTTGACAACCAATGATTTATAACATGAATGTATATCTCCCATATCTGAGATCATCTCAAGAAGTGTGTGTGTTTTCTAGAAACTGAAGGTCTGCAGTTTGAGGTTCCCCATCTGGCCTGCTCCGTATACTATGGTGCGTTGAAAGACTTGCCTGCAATGGTGCGTCTGTGGTGGAACAGCCAAGAGAAACGCGTCTTCAGCACGGTGGATAAATTCACCAGCAAGTACGTCAGCGGCGTTTTGTCTGTGCAGGAGATTGCATCTGTGCAGTCCAGCACCCAGACTTTTGAGAACATGACGGTGAGCTGTGGTGGAAAATTTAAGTGAACAAAATCATCTGTGCTTAAGTGGTTTTAGGCATTGTGATCTGATGTGATTCGCATTCTCAGGTGAAAGCACGGTCTGCCACGCGGGAGGTGATCGCGACTTACTCTGTTGACGATATCTTCATAGAGCTGGTGATTCAGCTACCTCAGAATTATCCGCTCGGCTCTATCTTAGTGGAGAGTGGGCGGAGAGTGGGTGTGGCCGTTCAGCAGTGGCGCAATTGGATGCTTCAGCTCAACACGTACCTCACACACCAGGTAAAGGAAGTAAAAAATGTTCTCCGTTTAAACCTTTTAAGATAAATGCAGTAACATTTAGTTTAATAAAACAACTAGCTTGTCAAAAAAAGGAAATATTAAAGAAAAGATTATATTTATACACTACTGTTCAAAAGTTTGGGCTTGTCCTACTTCATATTTTTGTTGAATGTGTGATATATTTTTTCGGGATTCTTTGATGCATGAGAACTTCAAAAGAATAGCATTTATTTGAAATAAAATTTTAATTACCGTATTGGCCCGAATATAAGACGACCCTGAATATAAGACAACCGCGTTTTTTCAGATGTATTTCCAACAGAAAAACATCGTCTTATATTCGGGTCAATACGGTAATGTAATTTTAATACAATTTCTGATCAAATTAATTCATCCTTTCTGACAAAAGTATTACATTACTGAACATTTGAGCAATTTAAATATCAGAATATTGTTTTTATTTCCCCTAAATATTTTTACTACTTGTAAAATTATATTTTTATTTTCATAATTTTACAACTTGTTTTTGAAAATCTTTAAACTGGCACTAAAACATGTAATACAAGTCATAATACAAGGTAGTGCTGTCATAGATAAACTAAATATAAAGTATTTGGACACTTAAGCAACATATAAAAATGAATTTTATTGCATTCATTGCATAGATTTATGGCAACTGGAAACAAATGATGCAAAAGCTTTTGTCAGAACTAACTTCAGTTTTTTTGGGCCATTGTTGCTTTAACCAAAGTTTGGCTTGAAATGTGATCTCTGTTGTTAAAAAGTGCTACTGGGTTTGATTTTTCTTTTTTTATCTAATGCAGTGATTTTTTTTTTAGTCTAATGCAGTGGTATTTGTACATTTTTTTTTTTCCTTTTCTTTTTAGATTTGAATACTTTTGGGGGCTGCTGTTAATGTTGCCTGTTTAGTTTGGAATTGGCCCAGTTGAACTGGTTTATTAAAGTAACAGTTAAATGCCCTGCGTGATTTATTTTGAATAACTGAAAATGGCCAGACTAATTTAGATGATATGTTTGGTAGAATGGCAGTATTCTGGAAGGTCTGTCGCTGTGGAAGAACAATGTTGACAAGCGTTTTGAGGGGGTGGAGGACTGTATGATCTGCTTCTCTGTCATTCACGGATCTAATTACTCGCTGCCAAAGAAAGCCTGCCGTACCTGCAAAAAGAAGTTCCACTCCGCCTGTCTGGTGAGTGCCACATACACCATCTTTTGCTCTTCCATTATAGTTATTTTTCGATGAATGTTTTTAAAACATAGTAAGTGTAGTTTTGAGCATTTATGTTATTTTATGACTTTACATAATTATAATATCTGCAGTTTAAAGTTAACATGGCACCCATTTTACTTCTGTAATCTGAAGCGTTTGTGTGAAACTGGATATTCAATGGTTTTCAGAAAGTAAATGGGCTCAATTTTGATTTTGTTGAGTTTTAATGTTCTTATTGGTAATATGACTGCATCCCTTTCAAATCATAGGCTTAAAATTCTATAAAAGGTCACCAGTGCACTTGAAATTGAATAATTTCCCATCTGCAGTGAAGTTTTCAATCTGACACCATTTATTACTCCAATTCTGCAGATATTTCAGAATCAGCAAAATGTGCAACCTTGAATGATCTCAAACGCTTCTCGTTCCTCACTGACCGGTTGTTTCCATTTTCTTTCATTCCACAGTATAAATGGTTCACATCTAGCAACAAATCCACATGTCCTCTGTGCCGAGAGACTTTCTTCTAAGCTCTGTCTCCATGGACACAAATAATACGTGAATGACATCCTCGGCAAACAGCTGACTCAGAAAGAAATGTTCTGTTTGTTTGTTTGTACATTCGATTTTTGCAGTGCTGCAAATTACCATGGCCTTTTAGTTTCTGATTCTGAAGATGCACCCAACAACACCTGTCACAAACAACGGAATGAACAAACAGTCGGAATTCTAAAAAAACAAAGTACCCGGACTGGATTAAAGACAGCTTGACAGGAAAATGAAGGCTTAACAAGCCTGAGAATTCAGGCCTTAAAGGAATAGTTCACCAAAAATCAACATTTTGTCATTATTTGCACATACTCATGTCATTCCAAACTTGTTTCATGTTACAGAATTTTGAGGGATCTTGACACTTTTTTTCCTCAACACATCTGTCAAGCCCCAAAAAAGAAGAGAGTATGAATAAAAAAACGTTATAGTACAAGATGCTAAAAATAGAAGTCATATGGTAGCTTAGTGAATGGCACAAAATGTAGGTTGTTGTACTCTTTTTGTTTTAATCAAATGTAGCTGCATAGAGGTTTGGGATGACATGGGTAAATAATCACAAAATGTTAATTTTTTTTGTGTGTACTATTTCTTTAAATTAAATCAATTTAAAGTTGGCAAGATGGTTCATCATATATCAGGTTACATAAATTTGCCATTCACAAGTAGATCTTCTGGTGAAATCAAAGTGTTCATAGTTTCTACTGATGTGGAAAATAATGTATTTTGCTCTGATAAATGTGGGACCATATGGATGACCTGTATAGAAAATAATGGACCGAGTTTTGGCTTTTTATCTCAGCTTGATGATATTTTGTATAATGACACATAATGCTGTATGCTGCAGACATTTCTGTTTGCTTTGTTCTTTAGTTGTCATGGATTGTGTAACATGACACAATTTGTGGTCCTGAAATACAGATCATACTTTCAGCCTCAATGTTTATCATATGTCATTTTACGTAATCTGCTTCGGTCAATCACAGTGTGTCACACTATCTGTGCATTTGTGTCTGTTCCTCCGAGTCACGGTAGCTTATCTATTGAAGCTGCAAGGTAAGCTGCAGTTTGCATGTACGCAGGGAAGACATTCATTGAAGAATAATTTCAGATGCAAAAATGGTCTGTGATGAAAGCACATCTAAATCCATCGGTTTCACGGCTATTACTATTTAATAGATGTTCCCATTGAAGAGCCACATGTATTGCATGATGCAGAACACTACCTGAAACAAATATGAACAAAACCATGTCTCTCCTCTAGCCATGTTTAAATTTTATAAACTCGTTCATGTTATTGAAGCTTTTGTGAGTAGTGAGATAGGAAATGACTTTGATCTTCAATCCCATATGGCTGTGGGTTTCCTCTACACAACCAGTGTGACCAAGTGGTTGAACTGTCAAACTACCTCATGACTACACAGATGGTTTTACTAGCATATTTGGACAGAAACAGGCTTAATACACATGTATTACAATGTAATTACACAGTTATTACATTGTAATAGCAGTATAATTTAGAAGATATTTAGAAAAATAGTAGCACATCATGTATATGTGTGTGTGTGTGTATATAACATTATATCCATGCGCATAATAATAACACTATTATTCCCATGTATGTCTCAAATGCAAAGCCTGCACTGACTCCTATCAGTCATCCTCATTCTGTATTGTTGCCTGTATCTGTTGCCCTATACGGTGTGACCGAGGCTTATCTCCTGAGAGAGGATGGAGCAGAGGTTCCCCAAAACCAGAAAGAAAAGATCATTTTCTGTTGCATGCAGAGGAAGCTAATGCTTCTGGGTGAAGAGAGGATGGATTTAGAGCTCTTGAGGAGATTTAGCCGTCTTTATCTATGATAAAAATCAATAGCGGTAAAGACTACAATGAGCACCGGGGAGACAGGACTGTCGGAAGGCTCAGGATATATATTACGTGAAGAAATGCATACGATTTCGTCCCTTTCCTGTGCTAATAGGACTACCTTAATAGTTAATGATGTGTCAGAGAGAAGTCAGCAGGAAAAAAGAGGGAATGAGAGGAAAAGAAAAGGTCAACATTCTAGAATTTGAAGCACAAGTTTTGCAGAGTTCACACGTATAATGAGCACTGTCATAACAACCTCCCCCGAATTCCTCTCGCAAAAGCCTTTTATCAGATTTATTATGCCCAGGATGCCAATAGCAATTTCAGTGTTATTGTAAAATGTTAACTCTGTAGCTGCTAGTTCTTGGAAGCAGGACCAATTAGACGGCAGTTGCTGGCGCCAAAATAGCAGTGGTTCTCAGGTCTAGCTCACTGGCGTTTGAGTCATTTATTGTTGTAATGGAGGCTTTGTTTTCATTACACACTTGTTTAGAAGTCATTAGGTAATTAAACATGACAAATGAATGCACTGGAGTGGTTTGAGCCGATGCAGTGAATCTCGATACCTTAAAAACTGGTCCATCATTGTTCATAAACTTAAAGTGTTGAGCTCACGGCTGACATTTCCACAAGGCAGCTACAGATTAATGTGAACCACTAGGTGGCAGCATTGGATGGTGTCGGTGGATGTTTGACATGGGATTTGATGCTTTTTAAAATCCTTTTCCAGAGACGTTCTATTCAATTCGCTCAGTGTCAAGGGAGGGTTATTGCTCTTAAAAAGTATCAAACCAAAGCCATCAGAAAAATGTGCTCTTCTGTATTCTCAGTGCAAAATGAGGACTCAATGATAGTCGGATGGATGGTTAGAATGACAGAACAATGGAACGAATGTAGATGATAGATAGGTAGATAGATAGATAGATAGACAGACAGACAGACACACACACACACACACACACACTCAGGTTAATGTTCGTTATGTAGCAATATTACTTCAACAAACTCACTTTAAAACTGCAAGGTCTCTGAACATTCTCTCTGTCTTACAGGAAATTCTTATCTTAATGCAATGTGTTCTTCCTGCCATTTCAGAATGTGTGTGTGTGTGTTACAGAAAGCGTAGGCAGGGCCAGAGCTGCATGTTCAATTTTGAGCATAATGCTGCTGCGAGAACTATAGTGTGCAGGACCTAGTTAATATTCAGTCCATCCTGACCCATTTGAGGACTGCTGGTTCTTCCAGAGTTGTCACGCCTCAGTTCAGTGCTGTAGGCTTCTTTTCAGCTCTCTAAATAGCAGCATGTCACTGCTGCTCTGCCAACACAATGAAACCAGGCCAGCTCTCCTCCGCCGCCTTTCCATTTTCATTATTACCATTAAAGTAGCCAATTTGCATGGCCAGTGGTTTGGCTGACCCCTAGTGGAGATCGGCTCTGCTGTTCTGGCTTTAATTTTTTCGTGTGTGTTTAGTTCTACACTTGGCTATTTTAGGAAAAGTCCTTGTTTGACGAGGAGGTCACTTCTCTGCTCTCACTTTTTTTTCTACCCACTGGCAGAAGAAAAATGAGGATTTATCCAATTTCATCTAGGAGTTTGGCTATTGTCTGGACAGGAATTAACCAGTTGGAAAACAGTCACTTTGCACTGAATTCACTTTTAAAGGGTTCGTTCACCCAAAAATGAAAATTAGCCCATAAATTACTCACCCTCAAGTCATATAGGTGTATATGACTTTCTTCTTTCAGATGAATCCAGTCGGAGTTATATTAAAAATGGTCTTTGATCTTTCAAGCTGTTTAATGGCACTCAGCGGGTGTTGCAGTGCATCAGTCCAAAAGAAGTGAAATAAAAAGTGCCCATCCTAAATAAAAAGTGTCTCACACAGCTCCGGGGGGTGAACAAAGTCCTCCTGTAGCGAATAAAAAAAATGTCTCACACGGCTCCGGGGGGTGAACAAAGTCCTCCTGTAGCGAATTGATGCGTTTTTGTAAGAAAAATATCCATATTTAATACGTAATAATCAATTGAATCTAGCTTGCGCTCACTGTTGTACACGGAAGCAGCTCCGGGCTGATGACGTGTGAGCTCAGGTTTGCGCATGCGCTGCTCAGAAGTGACGAACGCGGAAGCGCAGGGGAGAGATCAAAACAAAACAACGGTCACTAATTAGAAGTAGAAAACGAGGATTTGTAAAGAAGAATGTCAGAGGATTTCGATATAAGCCAAGAGGAAACTTCCTTGCTAAAGTAAGGAAACTTTGCTTCCTTTGCTTCTGTTAACAAACGTTGGTTTTCACGAGACTCACCAGCGCATGCATAACGCTGACCTCATACCTCATCAGCCCGGAGCTGCTTCGGTGTACAACTGCTGGCGCAAGCTACATTAAAGTGATTATTACGTTTTGAATATGGATATTTTTCTTACAAAAACTCATTGATTCGCTACAGGAGGCCTTTGTTCACCCCCCGGAGCTGTGTGAGACACTTTTCTTTATGGATGGGCGCTTTTTATTTAACTTCTTTTGGACTGATGCACTGCAACACCCGCTGAGTGGCATTAAACAGCTTGAAAGATCAAAGACAATTTTTAAAATAACTCCGACTGGATTCGTCTGAAAGAAGAAAGTCATATACACCTAGGATGACTTGAGGGTGAGTAATTTATGGGCTAATTTTCATTTTTGGGTGAACTAACCCTTTAATTTCTCTTACTTGAGTTATATTGCATAACAAAAATTGTAGTTTAGCAGGTCGTTGTGTTTGTGTCTTTCATTATTAAGACATTAACAGTAGTCAATTATAGGAATTATTAAACAAAAATACTACAAAATAACTGCTTAACTAAAATTACCTGATGAAGCAGCTGCCATTTTGAATGTTTCAGCATGATGTTTCAATGGTCAGGTGGAATAAGTTGGAAGAAAATTAAAAGTTTACAAGGTGTAATTATGAGTTATACGAGGACATGAATGCTTATATAGTCAGAGTCTCATAATTGCAGTAATTCCGGCATGTCGCTTAATCACGTTTTGTTCAAAATATACATTTTAAGCCTTGCCATGTGTCTCATTCTACCTCAAATCTTTCAGCTTGTTGAGGTGTGCTGCATGTTTAAATGATCAGAAGATCAATTTTGCTTGCCGGATGATTAAAATGGCAAAAACAAAAAAAAAGGGAATTGAAGGAGGCACCAATGCCCTCTCTATTAAAGAAAGTTGAAATTTTTTGAGTAAACAACCATCTTGAAACCAACCAGAACACTCTAACAAGTGTATAACATGTCTGAACACCTTAGCAATATAGCAATACAATAGCATTGTGACAGCAGTCAAATTTTTTTCTCAGAAAATATAAAAACTAGTTAAAAAAATCTTTTACAATATTGCTTTTGCATCCCAGGCTCATTGCAAAAATGTGCCTGTGGTGATATTATGTTGCTTCTTGTATATTTGGAATGTCTTGCAAGTGGCTTGTAAAAGTGCATGCTGTTTTATCCGAAACAGATGAACTTGAAAATGGCAACATTTTATTGTGTTGGTTGTTGTACGTATTTTAGCAGTGCTGTTAAAGTTTAATGCTCCGTTGCCTTTGAAAATAATGTACCATCTACACTAAACCCTACCCTAAACCTAACTGATAGTGTTATAAAAAGCAATTTGCTGAAGCAACCACGCCATTTTAGCTTCCTTGTACAAGTCTTTGAGCTCATTTAGTGACTCTTGTTTCACAGGACCTGTACCCGAGTGCAGTGTTGTACGGGGTGAGCTACTGAGCAGGTTTACTACATCAGAAAAGCCATTTAAATGGAGTTGGTTATGTGATTCAAACTTCACAAATCGTGCTACGATAAATGTGTTTTGAGGTCATACCATAGTATTGTACTGTGCAAAATTAATTATTAATCAATAACCTGGCTCTTTAATCATAATTTTGTGTGAAAAGGAATAAAAGTTGGTGTTTTACTGTGACCTAGTGCTCATTTGAGCTGAAAACTGCAGTGAATTGTATGTGTATAGGCATGTTTTTGGAGTTTTGCCAAAATGTAGGTAAAGGCACATTTTCCCAATGAGCCAGGTTGAGTTTTATGTTGAGCTGCTGAATATCCATTGTGTCTTCCAAATCCCCTTAGCTGTGATAATGCACACCATGTCTTATTGCTTTCTTAGAGTTGTCTTTAAATTCTGCATGCATTCTGCCAAACTCACCCCTCATCGCAGACGTCTTTGTCACATGCACATGCAGCTTGGAGGGTTGGAGAAAGCGGGGTGGAGAGGCTGTGATATGTACCCAGATGGCTTCTCGCAGTGGCTGTAGGCCGACTCCCATGCGCCACACTCTTTAATCTCCCTCAGCTGCGAAGCCGGGATATCTAAATTAGAGAGCAGAGGAGAACGGAGCTGCCATTCTCCATGCTTCAGGTTATTTATTTGCTGTGACTGGGTTGCAGTGGTAGAACAAATGGAGAGCCCAGGGAGAGGCTTAGGACTGCGACTCAGCTAAGAGCCTTTTAAGAGAGGGGCCATTAACGCCAGTCCTCCGCTACTCGGGAGGATAGGCTGTAACAATGCATCCGAGGCAAATG